AACGTTCAATACTTTCATCATTCTTGATTTCGATCTAAGTTTCACATAGATCTAACCTAGATCTTGGTCATAGAATCTATAATGCTCAGAATGAAAAATCCACTTTCAATATTCAATAGGTTATCGAAATATCACAGATCTAGATTCTACTTTTATTTCGTGATTCTTCTTGATCTCGATACATTAAATAGGCCTACGGAAGGCTAGACTACTCTTTGCGCTTTCGATGACACCCTCCCTGTCACTCTCACCACCCTCCCTCTGTTAGTGCTTTCTGGCCTCCCCCCCCCCTCTCTCTCTCTCTCTCTCTCTCTCTCTCTCTCTCTCTCTCTCTCTCTCTCTCCCTCTCTCTCCCAAGGTAGGGTAACAAAGGAAAAAGTCCCCACTTTGTAACATGTATTACTACTTGATTCTTCTCCTTCTTTTTCTTCTTGTTCTCCCCCTCCTCCTCCTCTAATTCCTCCTGCTCCTCCTCCTGCTCTTCTTCTTCTTCTTCTTCTTCTTCTTCTTCTTCTTCTTCTTCTTCTTCTTCTTCTTCTTCTTCTTCTTCTTCTTCTTCTTCTTCTTCTTCTTCTTCTTCTTCTTCTTCTTCTTCTTCTTCTTCTTCTTCTTCTTCTTCTTCTTCTTCTTCTTCTTCTTCTTCTTCTTCTTCTTCTTCTTCTTCTTCTTCTTCTTCATAGTTTTTCATTCTATGGTTTTTGAGAATATACTGTTCGCAAAATTTGGCCTTAGCTCCATTAGTAGTAAGATTAGTATTATTATTATTATTGTTATAACTGTTATTATCATTATTATTATTATTATTTTTTAAATTATTATTATTATTATTATTATTATTATTATTATTATCATTATTATTATTATTATTATTATTATTATTATTATTATTATTATTATTATTATTATTATTATTATCATTATTATCATTATTCTTATTATCATTGTCATTTATATCTGTTTTGGATTCTTCTGAGTTAAGTTTTAGTAAAACTTTTGCGGCACTTTTATCACAATAAGGTCATGCAAGTGCCGAGGTTTAGAGGGTTTTACAAGAGAGTAACAAACACAAAAAAGGAGGAAGAGAGATAAGGACGAGAGGCGTTTGATAGGACAGAAGAAGCAAACCACACCAGAGCACCCGACAACCACCCACACGTGAAATAAATCTTCAATGTATCCTTGAGAAAAGTCCTTGAGAGAAGTGTTCTGCCAATTGCCGTGAATTTGTAATGAAATTGGTGGTGAGTTGATCGTTCTGGAGGGGCCTATTCAGTCTTCGTGTCAATGTTTCTATCGCCTCGTATTACTTCCAAACAAAATGTGAGGCATCGTGGTGAAATCAGGCGGTCGTCAAAATAACAAAATCGAAGAAAAAGGCACTCTTCATACATTTTGGTAATTTTTCCAAAAATTTTCTTTTTTGGCTCAACATTTTTATGTTCACATAAAAGCACATTCAAAAGTGAATTTTACAGAAAGACGTAGATTAATGACACAAAATACATAAATTTTCAGTTTTCAAGGACTCTGAAGCTATAGAAGTTACCAAACTTAATTTACCTCTGAAAACAGGCTACTCCCTCCAGCTTCAATCGCAAATATCTCGACTCCTATTCAAGATAGATGAGTATTTTTTTCGTAGAAAGCTAGGCAAATGTGAAGTGTGCTGACAAAATGAATTACTTCTCGGATTCAAGCCTTATGGAAATAGATACATCGTGCTTATAAGAGAAGTTTTATAATACATAAATATGAAATAATAAGAGGCATGTCATACAGAAACAAATAGTGCATCAATAGAAGATCTACTAATTTGACCTCCGTGTTGATTTTTAGCCAATATTTCCATTTGTGGATTGCGAGAAGTAACTCATGTTGTCAGCACGCCACACAAATACGCTTTCCGATTATACCAATAACGCCACATGCCCAAAAATTGATGAGTGCCTGATTCCGTCACACTGTGGCACAAATGTGTTCATTCGCCTGTGTAATATAATGGCCTAAGATTTTCATCGTCGCAGTCAGTAGACACGTGCTTGCTTCCAGTGTATAGAAAATCTATAATATTCTTTTTCCCGATTACCTCCGATGTTTTAGTAAGTGTTTTACAGAACTTACAACACAATAAGGTCATATAAGTGTGGAAGATTACAGGTGTTACAAGAGAGTAACAAATAT